GAAGAAGGGTCTAGGCCTGAAACGTCAGCTTTCCTGCTCCTCTGATGCTGCTTGGCCTGCTGTGTTCATCCAGCTCTACACCTTGTTATCACAGTTAATGGAAAATTTTTGAGCTGGACGATGGTTTGTGGAGGAGTTCTTTGGGGTCAGTGTATTCATGATCTAGACCTTGAGGTACAAGACAAACTTTCAAAATTTGCTGACGCTTCCAAAGCCTGGAAGCATTATAAATTGTGAGGAAGACAGTGTCAAACTTCAAAAGAATATAGAAAAGTTGATGGAGTGGGTTGACAGGTGGCACGTGGGGTTTAAGGTAGAGATCTGGTAAGAAAAAAGGAACAAAGGTGTAGACAATTTACTAAACAGGGAAAGGCTTTGGAAATCTGAAGCACAAAGGCACTTGGGAGTCCTTGCTCAGGATTCTCTTAAGGTTAACATGCAGGTTCATTTGGCAGTTATGAAGGCAAATGCAATGTTTACATTCATTTCAAGGGAGCTGGAATACAAGAGCAGGAAGGTACTGCTGAGGCTGTGTAAGGGTCTGGTCAGACCGCATTTGGAATATTCTGAGCAGTTTTGGGCTTTGTATGTAAGGAAGGATGTGCTGGCATCGGAGAGGGTCCAGAGGAGGTTTACAAGAATGATATTGGGGAGGAAGGATTTGTCTTATGAGGAGCAGTTGACGACTCTAGGCCTGTACTCGATGCAGTTCAGAAGGATGAGAGGGGATCTGACTGAAACGTACAGAATACGGAGGGAACAAAAACAGAAGTTGCAGGAAAAGCTCAGCAGGTCTGGCAGCACCTGTGAAGGGAAAAACAGAGTTAATGTTTCAGGTCCAGTGACGATACAGAGGGGCCTGGATAGAGAAGATTTGGAGAAGATGTTTCCACTGGTAGGAGAGACTAGGAGGGCATAACCACATTTTATAACCAGGAGGAGGAGGGATTTCTTCAGTCAGAGGGTGGTGAATCTGTGCATCTAAGAGAAGGATAGATACATTCTTGATTAGTAAAGGGATCAAGGGTTACAGAAGAAGACAGGAGAATGGGGTTGAGAAATATAGCAGCAACGATTGAATGATGGAGTAGACTCAATTGGCCAAATGGCTTAATTCTGCTCCTATATCTTATGGTCTATATTCTAACTAAGACATGATACACTGAGAGACAATATAAAATAAAGGGCACATCATGAAGGGAAACTTTTTTCACACAGAGAGTGGTTCATATGTGGAATGAACTGCCCGAGGAAGTGGTGGATGCAGGTACAGTTACAATGTTTAAAAGACATTTGGACAGGTACATGAATAGGAAAGATTTGGAGGGATAGGGGCCAAACACAGGCACGTAGGACTAGTTTGGTTTGGGAATATGGTAGGCGTAGACTAGTTGGAATGAAGGGTCTAGAGCTGTAGTGCCTCTATGACTGTACAATATCTTTAAAGGGGCATGGTGCAGGAGTGCATAAGTCATTCAAGATGGCACACATACAAGATCAAGGAAGTTATGTTAAACTTACCCAAGACACTAGCTCAGTCTCAACTGGAGGACTGTGTCCCGTTCTGGACACCAGACTTTATGAAGAATGGGAAGGCACAGGGGAGAGTGCAGAAGCAGTTTATGAGAATGGCCCCAGGCATAGGGAACTTCAGTCATAGAAATACATTGGGCACATTGGGACTGTTTTCCTTGGAGAGGCTGACTGGACATGTGAAGTTTTCAAAATCATGAGGGGCCTGGACACAATAACCAGGGGGGAAATGATCCTACTCATGAAAGGATTGAGAATGAGAGGGCACAGATTTAAAATTATGTAATAAAAAGATCTAAAGTGATACGAGGAAATCTTTTTCATGCTTTGGATGCCTAGGATTGGAAATGTGCTGCTTCAATTGAGACACTCAGAAAGGAATTGGTCTGGAATCTGAAAAGGAACAGTGCACAGGGTCGAAGGGAGAAGGCAAGAGAATAGGACTAAATTTACTGCACATTTGGAGTGCTGGTGCGGATATGATGGGCTGAATGGCCGAGTTCCCAGTGTAACTATTCTTTGCGTCAGTATCACTTGCAGGCTCAGGAGGCGTGTTTGAGTTAGATACAGAGTGAAACTCACTCTGCACACACTGACCCATTAACTCATTCAGATCCTTGTTCTTCTCCAAACCTTCCCCGACACTCTCTCCCACAACATGATTGTTTTAAAAAAAACACAAGGATATTAGGTCTGAGGCCTCATTGGGTCAAAGTTTAAATGGCACAGACGGGCAGCAAAATGAAAATGACGAACCCAAACGCACCCACCTATCACCCTCCGCCATGTAACCTGCAAATCACCCCCCTTCTCCTTACCACCACACCCATAACACTGGCACCCCCAAATGTTTCAGTCCCAAACACTCCTTCCACCCATATCTCATTACATCTGGAATCCTCATGGGATTGGTTTCCTTAAAACAAAGGAAATTGAGAGGGGGACTTGATGGAGATGTATAAAATAAAGGTGGGGGGATGCATAGACAGGGTAGACAGGAAGAAACGTTCCCCTCACAACAATGAAGAAGTATTTAAGTGTTCATTTGCGATGCCAAGGCGTACGGGTCTATGGGCCAAGTGCTGGAGAATGGGATTAGACTAGTTAGTGGTTGTTTTTGACCAGCAGGGATGCGATGGAGTGAAGAGCCTTTGTCTCTGCTATAGACCTCTGTGACTCGATGACTACTTTGGGTTAGATGCTAACAGTTTCTTTCCCCTTGTGAGACAGAGTGGATATGATGGGCCAAAGGGCCTTTTTTTCCTGTGCTATGACCTTTAGCCTCTTGCTTGTCTTTGTGCTCCGATAACCCTGACCTCCGAGTCCTGACCCCTGATATTTCCATTTCCTACTACCCCCTCCCTGATACCCACCTCCATCCCTAGCCTATCATCTCCCCACCCCTACCCGCAACCATTTCTCTCTCTGCCCCCTGAATTTCACTCAATTTCTGCATTACCCTGTCCCACCCCGATCCTGCTCTCTGGGAATATACCTGCTCCCAATGGACCCCTACCCATGTTGTTCTGTTCTCTGAACTCCCTCCCTCCCCGCCAACCTCACACTCCAATTTCTCCATCTCCCTGCCGCACCGCACCCCCCCACCCCCACCCCCCACACCCCTGCTAACCCACAACCTCTCCATCTTTGCGCTTCACTCTAAATCATGCCTAGGGTTTTCGGAATTTACAGCTGTTCACCCTTCCAATGAGGCAACCCACTGACCAGAAATCAAAGGGCAAAGTTTATCAATGGAGCCTAAAGGCCAGCTCTCTGCAGAAATAAAAAAATCCTTCCCAGCTTTCCAGACACTCCCTATCTCCACCCAGCCCTTAAATAAGGAGGGCCTCATTGCATTTCATCAGTAAACTATTCATCCATAGACTTGGGTAATTTTCCGAGTTCGAATCCTATCGTGGCAGATGGTGGAATTTGAATTCAATAAAACATCTAGAATTACAAATCTAATGATGATCATGAAACCATTATCAGGAAAAACCCATCTGGGTCACTAATGTCCTTGAGGGAAGGAAACCTGCCATCCTTACCTGGTCTGTCCTACCTGTGACTCCAGGTCCACAGCAATGTGGTTTGATTCTTCACTGCACCCAAAGACTGATGAGATTAATTGACCCTAATTAGGGATAGACAATAAATGATGGCCTAGCCAGTGATACCCACATCGTGTAAGTGAATTTTTGTTTTAAAAATCTGGGCACCATGATTTGGGATGGAGAGCAAAGCGTTGGAGAAGGTGCAGAGGAGAATTAAGTTGTGAAGCATGAGGGATTTTAGCTCTGCGGAGGGACGGCAGAAGCTGGGCAAGGCACAGAGATGGGAGCTTAATTAAAAGTGGTCAAAATCACAAAGGGCTGTGATACGGGAAAGATGGCAGAACTGCTTCCTGTAGCAGAAAGGTCAGAGGAAGTGGGGATAACTGAAGAGTTCAAAGGGTCAGTACAGATATCCGGGCTGAATGTCCACCTTCTGTGTTCTAAGATTCGCTCTATACACCTTAATCGTGGCTCACCACTCCAGCCCTAGCCTTCACGTTCACTCACTTACCTTCTTCAGCTCCATCTTGGCATTTGCACTCACAAAATCACTGTTGGTCTTGAGCCAGTGGAACTCGCGGAGGAGGCCAGCTGTCTCCTCACCATGTTCGTAGGGCAGGTAAAAGAGGTCAACCATCAGTCGCAGATTGGCCAGGGTCAAGGTGCCCGTCTGGAGTGGTGGCCTTTCCAGGGGAAAGCGGCAGCCCTCACCCTTGGCCCTGTCCTGCTCTGTTAGCTCATGACCCTCGCCGTGAGATTTCTGACGGTCAATATCACCAGTTCCCGTCGACTCATCTCTTAGTTTCTCAGGACCTGGCGAAGTGCTATCATTCCCAGAATCCCTTGGTCCAAGAGGGCTGGTCTTCTCGCTTTTTACTGCTGGTTGGCCAACGTCCATCTTCGGAGCCTTGTGGGTCTCCTCACTCAATGAATCTTTGGCCCCGTCCAGCTCTGGCTCATTCAATGGGCTGCCCTGGGGCAGTAAGTTACTTGTGCTTGTACTTGGTTTCTCAGTCCTTGGTCCAACATCCCCATTCTGACTAACCACGTCTGAAGGTCTGCTACTGAGCTGTCCTTCCTTTTCATCCTTAAGCAGCTGCCTACCTGTGGGAAAGACCGATACAAGGAAATTAGTCCCACCTTCTATCCCATTGGAATCTGGGTTTCTGATCCAAAATTGAACATCAACCACTTGGTACCTTTTCATATTAGCTGCCAGGCTCTTACTTTCTCTTTGCCTCGTCTTCCACAACCCCTCTGGATTTCTGATGGGCAGCTTGATTTTCCCTTACGTTATAAATCTTTCACCTGCACATGTTTTCTGCTTCATCATACTCTCTATCTCATCATCTAGGGAACTCTGGTGTTGCTTACTCTACCCAAGGCTGGGGTAAACCATCTCCCTCTTTAAAAGACCAACCATCGATTAATTACAGTAATGCTTGCCGATTTTTAGTCCTAATAGACCTGGGACCAATCTGTCCTCACCCACTGAAGTTGGCCCTTTTCCAATTCATTCCTTTTGCTCCTTGTCCTTTTTACTAAGTTAAACCTTATTGGACCTTTATATGACCCTGTGAGCGTGCATGCAAGGGCTACCTAACTTCACTCATGAAAAAGGCTGTCCTAATGTTTGGACCATGTTCCTAGTTTAACACAGATACAGTTCCTACCTACCTACCCACCCGATCTGTTTTCCCACAATACCTTGAAAGCTCAGAGCAAATCGTCCTGAAGCTTCCAAACGCGCACACACACACACACGCACACACACTCTCAACTTCTCTCTCCCTCACTCTCTCACACACACAATAACACGTGTGTGCACATGCACACATACTCACACACACACTCTCACCTTCTCTCTCCCTGTCACACACACAAACAACACGTATGCGCACATGCACACATACTCGTTCACACACACACAGACGCGCACGTGCGTGCACACACACTCTCACCTTCCCTCTCTCACACACACATGTACACGCACGCACACACACTCTCACCTTCTCTCCCACTCTCTCTCTCGCACGCATGCGCGTGCACACACACATACACACTCTCACCTTCTCTCTCCCTCTCTCTCTCTCTCTCACACACACAGACACAGACACGTGCACGCACACACACATTCTCACCTTCTCTCTCCCTCTCTCTCTCTCTCACACACACACACACACACATAGACACAGACACGTGCACGCACACACACATTCTCACCTTCTCTCTCCCTCTCGCGTGTACACATTCACGCGTGCACACCCACGCACGCACCCACACACCCACACACTCACTTGGGCGCAGAGGTCTGTTCACTTCCTTTACCCAGTCAGCCAGTGCCAAGTTCAGGGCTTCGTTGGGGCAGTAAGATTGGTGAGACTCAGTGCCCTTCTCACCACCTGGAATGGGATTAAATGCAGTAAATCACTCTGTTGGAATATCCCACCCTTTCCCAGCTGTAGCATGGAAACCTCCC